AGAAAACAACCCACTTGTAGCCTGGTATCCATATCCGTTCATTGGATATTGAACCGGATAGCCACCGTTGAACTGAAAATACACTCTCTCACTGATTACAATTCATCATTCAATAAGATCTCACTATAAGATAATTATTACACATAACAAGCTAACTATATGGCAGAAGTAGAACTGAAAATGATGAAAACATATTCGAAGATCAACCTAAATTTTAAGACTGCAGCAAAAATTGATGAAAAACCTAATGGAAGTTAATTTTGTTGAGTTGAAAAAGTGGAATGCAACTAGTAATACTATAGTAGTAATAGACTAACTTGAAGACTAGTAATATAATTAGAGAATTATATTACTAGTCTTCAAGCTAAGGAATACTATCAGATCACTACCACTTCAACAAATCAATTATAATGCCCACACAATGAACAGAAGTGTAAATCATAGAAACAGTGAATATAATAAAAAATATGACAGTTTCAAAAGATTTATCAAATACGATAAAACTTACGAAAGTTTCACGTTTTCGAGAGCACGACCGACAAACAATACAACAAACCAAACAGAACGCTAACAAGAAAAGCGATACACCCAAACCGATCAGTATCCAATTGCGCAGCTGGTCAGCTGTCATGTTTTCGGGCTCTTCTGAAATGTTACCAATTTTTCAAAAACTTAGTCTGATATAAGAAGTATTCTGTTCAGCTAAAAACAACGATCAAACTCATTTGAACTTGAGTTAAGGCCGAAAACTTGAACAGAGATACATTATTTCGATGAGCTCAATCTCTGATTCAAGTTAAACGATGTTATGACAGAAATGTTTCTATTGAAACCAGCAACATTGAAACCAGTTGATAGACGAGGTCCACGATCATTCGTGAGCAATAAACTGAGCTCCGGATTGTCAGAACAACTAATTGATGTAACTAAATCGGCAGTTTCTTCACTAAACAATTCATATAATGAATGAACACTAACCAATTTCTGTTTTTATCGCCTTCACTGTTGATGGCTCGATGTTGAGCGATTCAACAGGACCACGAACAGCTTGCTGAAATCAGGTTTGATAACAATTCGGCGATAAAATCATTTCTGATTACATCATCTTTCACACGTAATCTTGATTTGAGCAAGCCAATTGTTGAATTGTTTTAGAAGGGAACCAAAGTATCTTTAAGTATCTGTTACGTCCTCTTGCAATAAGCATAAGAACGTCGAAAAAATACGCACTCTCACTGATAAACGCTGATCATATCAATGATAAAATGACTCACATCTTCGATGAGCTGTTTGACCTTCATTGCGGATGGTGAATTGGATTCTGTGGTTGTTAACGTTACGTGCGCTATGACACTTCCTTTCCTGCAATTGAAACGTTCTTCGATCAACGTTGTCAGACATACAATAAAGTAGCGGAATAGCGGAATAGCACGCTATTAGCCATCGCTGAATTTTAATAAGAGTGTTTTAGAAAACAAATACGACGATTGAGATGAATTTTGATGACTTACACGAATTTTGTGACTTTTGCAACCTTGATTGATGGCCATTTTGGTTGCATAACTGAGTCGATCTGAAATAAAATTTTCAAAATTTTTGAATTTTTAACGATCGCATTGCAAAAACTTTTTTTAGAAAAGTAGCGGAGTAGCGAGACCGATCAGTATCCAACTGCGCAATTGGTCAGCTGTCATGCTTTCAGGCTTCAGGCTCAATGAGCGTAATAATACTTCACAAAAAACTGGTGAACATTTGAAACTGACCGCTTTTGTTACTTCATTTGTCATTGTACGGAATTCCTCAGTTGTTCCATCGGACAATCTTGAGTTCCATTCACGATTCAGAATTCGTATGATCATCTCATATTTCGCCTACAAAACAAATAATGATGTTTTTCGATGAACTTCGATCGTTCACCAACGACTGAACCGTTGTAAATGCTTAACAAACAAATGAAATGTGACAAAAGATAGCTATAATACAATCACATTTGATTCCTTGTATAACACAACAGACGACACAAACTTCATTGAAAACTAACTCTAATTGCTTGCGTTGATTCATCTGGGAATACACTAGCCTCCAAAACGGATGCTTCATTTGTGAGAATTTTTTTGGTTGGTGCGATATCCTCAGAACGACCACACGCCTTCAGACAGACCTTCTTCAGCGACGTTACCGGCGTTTCAGTGTGCTTTTTTATTTCACCGGATCCTTAAATGTGTAAAAATAAATAATATGCACGCCGGATCGTTATCGACCTCCANGTGTGCTTTTTTATTTCACCGGATCCTTAAATGTGTAAAAATAAATAATATGCACGCCGGATCGTTATCGACCTCCAAAATCAACTGACGAGTAAGTGCAAAGATATCGCTAAGAAAAACGTCTAACCTTCTTCCAAATCGCCTCCAGCAACTGGATACAAGAAGTAGATACACTCATTTATCGATAGATCATATTCATCCTCAGAGACAAGACCTCGTGAGAAGTTCGCGTAGATATAGCCAGACTCATATACGCCATGAACATCGAAAATTCCTTGATCTGAATCGATTTTAGGACGACCATAGCCACTTGAGAAGTAATCGATTACAGTCACAGTGGAATCCTGAAATAACCTCCCATTGCAAGTGAATAACTTTCGAATGAATAGTGAACAAATGGACAATCAAATAATAACAGATAATTGGATAATAGATACAAGCCGGATCATAGCCTGGCTCAGGACACTCAAATAAATGACTGATTCAAAACGAACCTTCAACACTGATGCGGCAAT